CCCCACGCCCTATTCAAGACAATACAATAATGTGGACTCAGTATCGACTCGGGTGGCAGAGGAAACTGGGAGAGAGAGACAGAGAGAGACAGAGAGAGAGAGAGAGAGAGAGAGAGAGAGAAAGAGAGAGAGAGAGAGAGAGAGAGAGAGAGAGAGAGTTTGGGGGTGGGAGGGGGGTATTAGCATCTGTTCTGGGATACTTTGCAAATGTGGGAATTAGCTCTAGACTTTCTACCGCAGAGACAATTAGGGAGAGGAAGAGTTAGAGGCCTCGTCTATTCGTACTCGGGTCTGAATAGCCTCTCGTTGCTATTCGGACTCAAACCCCAATGCGCGTGCGCAAGCACCAGGTGTACCAGATGTGAAGCGGACTGGCAATTCGACCAAAGCCTTCCTCGGTTTTTACGATCTGGCCAAAATTTGTGACACAAATTTAGAAAAGTATTAGTGACATCAAAAGTGAACAACAGTAAGTTGCAGAATCTGAAATACTACACAGCCAAAACCGGGAAACGGTAATCTGAGCTCAAAGCAGCGAAAAAAAAAAAGAAAATCAAAGTTTCAGAACAAAAAAGAATAATAACTATCAATACGCTCGTAGGTAGTATATACCCGCTTTATTTGACAAGAAAGGCAAAATCATTGATCTATTGGAAGTCCAGTTAGAAATTACGAAGAGAAAAGTTAAAACCCTTCCAAAGGGAGCAAAAGCGCAGTCATTCAGAGTAACAGTGGTCTAAGGAAGAGTTTTTCCAACAGCGTACTTTACGTAGATTTACATGATGTTCAAATACTATCTGGACAATACAATGCATGTGGCTTCGGCGGCCTAGTGGTTAGGCTACCCGACTCGTAATCGTGAGGTTGTCGGTGGCCTAGTGGTTAGGCTACCCGACTCGTAATCGTGAGGTTGTCGGTGGCCTAGTGGTTAGGCTACTCGACTCGTAATCGTGAGGTTGTCGGTGGCCTAGTGGTTAGGCTACCCGACTCGTAATGTAATCGTGAGGTTGCGGGGTCGGGGGTTCGAACCGCAGGCCCGACGTTGTGTCCTTGGGAAAGGCACTTTACAAGAATTTCCTCACTTCACCCAGGTGGGAATGGGTACCCTGCCATACACACGGAAAGATCTTGTCAGTATGTTAGTGTTTTAGCTGCTTGCACTGTATGCTTCTCAGGAAGTTGAGTTTGTTTCCGAATGCTCTCAGGTCTGTTGGTGTACTAGTATAGATTGTGAAGCGCATGGAGCTTGCTGTTGAGCGGGGATTTGCGCTATACGAATGCTGTCTATTATCTATTATTGTTATTTGACTAGCAACAACCCTTCTACAGTCTGAAGCAGGGGTATCAGCTCAAAGTGTAAGTGAGGTCATTAAAGTTGTCTTTTCTTGGGGACAAATAAAATGCAAATTAAATTTAACAACCATATTAAAATCACAGAAGAAGAATCAGTTCGGACAATCTTCAACCAATAAGTAAGCCATGCTGTATGAAGTTGGAGTCCCCATAGCCACGGACGGGAGTCTACTCGAGTCGGAATAGTCACTTCGAGAGTGAAATGTCCAATTCTGTTCACAATGAGGGGAGAAAAGTCTACAACATTTACATATCCAACCAGGTGAACGTTGGGGTGACGATGAGGGGGGCGGGGGTG